GCGAGGCGGCCACACGCACAGCCCAGGCAGGCCCCAGTAGCTCCCAAGAGGACCCCATGGATGCCTTCAGAGACCCCCGGCGTGCCCAAGGACGGCCCCAGACGGTCCCAGCGGCCACCAAGGTAGCCCCAAGCGCCCCCAGAGATCCAAACATCTTCCACTTCTGCTCGCTCTCATCGTCCCCCGTCTCTTCCAGCAGGGATGATTGAGTGCAATTTCCTCACGCGATGCCTCCCAAAGAACGCACCGCATGGCGCGAGTTCGGTTCACAGCTCCCCACATGCGTCGTGCGAGCTCAAGGTCGTGAAGTGCCTCGGGAGAAGTGCTGGCTCGACCTCCTTGGGCGGGAGACGGGGGATGAGGGGGCACCGGACCCCCGACGAACGAAAAGACTCCCACATGGAAAGGTACATACCATTATGGACCCATGCTGCGTGTGGAAGCAGCGGACACTTTGCCACGGCAGGCTCGCGTCGTGCTCCGGCGCTGGTTCTTGACGTCGCGGGGAGCGAGCGTCCACTGGAGCGGACGGTCAGTCGGTCACGGGCGCCCGCGCGGCCCCGCACCGCCCACAAGGAGCAGGAGGAGGAGGAGGAGAAGGAGGAGGAGGAGGAGGAGGATGCTCACTCGTCTACCTTAAGTTGGACCATCGGCCGTTTCCAACATGTCAGATCTTTCGGCATCGACCGATCCCGGGGCCGCGGGCGGCGCTCCACGCGGAGCGCCGCCGGCGGGGTCGCTGCCGGTCGACACGGCGCGAACCTGCCGTGGATGATGGGCCAACTTCCCTGCCACCACCACTGCCACAGGTTGGACGGGGGAGAAGAGAGAATGGGGAGGTCTTCCTCCGCCTCCTCCTCCTCCTCCTCCTCCTCCTCTTCCTTTTCCTCTTCCTCGTCCTCTTCCCCTCCCTTTTCCTTTCCCTCCTCTTCCTCCTCGTCCACCGCCTCCTACCCATGCTAGTGGTCGTGGGAAATCGGCCCATCGGTAACATACTTGTTGTTTTTGGTTCAGTGCCCAGAAATCCCGACCCTTTCCCCAGGACCGTTTTTTGCATCTCGAGTCGTTTGTTGACAATCCTGGGGCCTGGCGAAGGCACCGAGAGGCCGAAATCAGCCTGGCGAAGGGCCCCAACCATATGCAGTTGAGTGCCGCAATTATGAGGATCGTCTTCTGTGGGAGCTCCCTATGCCATAGGGCCATAAAATGTGTAAATTGCGTGTCGATTTGGAGACGGGGGGCGCACGTGGAGCCTCCCACTGGGACCTTCGGTGGTGGAGCTCCATACGGGGCCACGAAGCGTGTGAGAGGTGTGCCGAAACGGGCGTGGCGCCCACAGGCGAACTGCAACTCTGGGACCTTCGCTGGAGCTCCTTACAGTGCCACGAAACGTGTGAGGGGTGTGCCGAAAAGAGGGTGACGCCCGCATGCGAACTGCGCCACTGAGACCTTTGGTGGAGCTCACTATGGGGCCACGAAATGTGTGAGGTGTGTGCCGAAACGGGGGTGACGCCAATCTGCAAACGGTGCCACTGGGACCTTAGCTGGAGCTCCTCACGGGGCCACGAAAAGTGTGAGGGGTATGCCAAAACGGGGGTGACGCCCACATGCGAACGGTACCACTGGGGCCTTTGCTGGAGCTCCAGATGGGTCCACGAAACGTGAGGGGTGTGGGAGACAAGGGTGACGCCCACATGCGAAAGGTACCAAATGGAGCCTCAGCTGGAGCTCCATATGGGGCCACGAAACGTGTGATTCGTGTGCTGGAACGGGCGTGGCGCCCGCATGCGAATGGTGCCACTTGGGCCTTGGCTGGAGGTCCCTACGGGGCAACACAACGTGTGAGGGGTGTGCCGAAACGGGTGTGACGCCAACATGAGAAGGGTGCCACTGGGGCCTTCGATGGAGCTCCCTATGGGGCCACGAAGCGTGTGACGGGTGTGAGGAAACGGAGCGGACGCCCACATGCAAACAGTACCGATGGGGCCTTAGCTGAAGCTCCATGTGTGGCCACGAAGCGTGAAATGGATGTGCAGAAACTGGTGGCGATGATGATGATGATGATGATGATGATGATGATGATGATGATGATGATGATGATGATGATGATGATGATGATGAAGGTGCAAATGAAGATGATGATGCTGATGATACTGATGATGGTGATTATGACAATGATGATGATGATGGTGATGATGACGATGCTTATTACGATGATGATTATGATAATGATGATTATGATGATGATGATGATGCTGAGTAGGATGATGGTGATGATGACGATGCTGGTGCTGATGATGATGCTGCTGCTGATGATGATGACGATGGTGGTGATGATGATGATGATGATGATGGTGGTGGTGGTGATGCTGATGACGATGATGGTGATGATGACGACGGCTGTGATGTTGATGATCATGATCATGATGATGATGATGACGATGATGCTGATGGTGATTGTGATAATCATGACGATGGCTGTGATAGATAACGATGACGGTGGTTATGATGATGCTGATGGTTGCGATGCTAATGATGACGACAATGGCGATGACGATTCTGATAGGAGGATGGTGGGGAGGAGGAAGAAAGGAACGCGTGGCGCTGCTCCTTCAACGCGAGGACCCAACACCACAGGATGGTTGGGGAGAGAAGCGAACGACCTCCCGCCCTAATTTTTCATGACGCGATAAAACAGGGCTAGGATCTGGATAAATCGCTCCAGAGCGTTCCGGAGCGCTCTCAGAGCGTTCTGGAACGCTCTGGAGCGGCCGCGGCGCCCAATACATCCTCCAAACCCGCCGATTCTCAGAGATTTCGAGTTATCCCGATCCGATTTTGTCCCGATCTTCGCGTCGTTTTACGCGAGCATGGAAGTATTAGACACTCCGGTCAAATAGCTGTTGCCGGTTTTGCTCCACGCCCGAGGCCTGCGCGCTGCCGACGACATGCTCGTCCCCGGCCGCGCGACCCCCGGGGGCGGCGTCTGCCTCGCTGGCCCGGCCCAGCCAGAGGGGAGCCGCGCTCCTCAACTCCTCCCCCTCCTCCTCCTCCTCCTCCTCCTCCTCCTCCTCCTCCTAGTCCTCCTCCTCCTCCCATTCTCCTCGTCCTCCGACTGCTCCTTCCGCCCCCCGCCTTCCCCCGGCCCCTGCTTCCCCTCCTCATCCTCCGCATCCTCCCCGCCTCTCCCTGGAAGGGGGCCATGTTGTCGACAATCCCCCTCTCTTTCAAGAGAAAGGAGGAGGGGGGGGGGCTCGACGGAGGCGGGGGGGCTGTTCGCTCGCCCCGCAAGGGAAGCTTGATCCGCAAGTGCAGTGCCGCGGAGTGGGCCCGTCCCTCCAGCCGAACTCCCCCTGGGCGAACTCCCCCTGGGCGAACCCACCTGGGCTAGCTCCCCCCGCTTCAGCGGCTTGGGAGAGAGGAGGCTGATGACCTTCTCTATTACTTGATTATAAGGCTCCAAAGTGTGCGTGTGTCTTGACAGTGGTCTAGCGGGAGCGTTAAGCAGACTGTATATATATATATATGTTTATATAGATGAGTTGTGCGACGCTTGAGATAACCCTCTTATGGCTGCCAATTGAATTGTAAAACAACCTTTATACCCTTACGTCAGAACAGAAGCCGGTTCGCCCTGTTATGAGTTCACGGGCGTAGGCCGTAACTCCCTCTTAACTCGTGATTCATAAGAACACGGAACATATGGATAACACGTAGTTGAGAAACCCGACGAAAATGTACGAAATAGTTACGGAAAGTCATGAACAGGGTAGGCAGTACTTACGACGCATGCACATTGTGATCGGAGCGCGCAGCCGGTTCCTCAGCTCGCCCGGCTGCTGCCCCCGCCCACTCCCCCCGCCCGCCGCCCTTCCCCTCTCGCAGCAAGCGCATGCGTGAGTGAGAAGAATTGGGCCTTCCCATGGTAGCAGCTTAAATGCACCCCTCCCTTCTTGCCGCCATCCACCCCCTTCCCCCCCCCCAACCTCTCTCCCTCATCGGTCCCCCTCATCGGTCCCCGATCCTCGTCGTCCAAGACGTCCGATGCATCCGCAAAATTTCCTCCCATGCACCATGCCCACACATCATGCCTGCAATGCGCGGGAACGGTGACACGAAGACGCACTCTTCAGAAAGCGTGCTGGTACCGTCGGGCCTGAACTCTTCTCGGATCGGAAATCAAGCTCTCATCACGAGCAGTATCACCCAGGGTACTACCAGGTACCACCCAAGGCACCACCAGGTACCACTCTACACAAACAGAGAGTCGCACCCCGAGTACCACCCTCCCCAAACAGGATACCAACTTAGGTCTTTGCGAGTGCCAACCACGTTCGGTCAGAGAGGTACCACTGAACACCACCCAGAACACCATCGAACACCACCAATTACCAGTCGGAAGCCATTCCGGTTCTCTCATTATCCCACCCTTCATATCCTTCCTGCTGTGTTACACCTCCTCTACATCGCTATTTCCAGTTTAATGATAAATCCCATCACAACAGGAGGATAACTGCTGTGGGAGCAATGTTTGCTGAAATCAATCGGGATGAGCGAATGACAACCGAGACGGTTGCATTATGAATACAGGGAGTTTAAAAAAAAGTAAGGTTTTTCCAACAAGGATTTTTAGATTCTGGGTTGTCGCGTAGAGTTTGGAGCGCCGCGCCGGGGCGAACCACAAAACTAGGAACAAAAACAAGAAAAAGCGCAATGACGCGACAGTAAACAAAACAAAGTTTTCCATGATGAAATCTGCGCCAATCCGCGCGAAGCCTTAAATGCAACTCTAAGTGGGCCCCCAAATGAATATTTAAAGACGCATTTTTAGGGTGGCATCTTTTATGGGGGGGGACGCTGGGGGGTTTGTTCGGGGGGTCGTGCTGGGGGGGGGATCTTGCAGGGGGTGACGATGGGGCTCGGGGTGAAGAATTAAGGAGAGATTTAAATGAAGATTTGGGCTGGCGAGCCTCTGGGGTGAAGTTCCACGCGAATACTTCCATGAAGATTTAGGTTGGCGGGCCTCCGGGGTGAAGATGCACGTGAAGATTTACATGAAGATTTAGGCGGGGCTGCGGGGTGAAGATTTTCGTGAAGATTTCCATGCAGAATGAAGCTGGCGGGGCTCTGGGGCGAAGATCTTCGAGAAGATTTGAATGAAGATTAGAATGAAGATTTAGGCTGGCGGGCCTCCGGGGTGACGATTTTCGTGAAGATTTACATGAAGATTTAGGCGGGTGGGCCTCTGGGGTGAAGATTTTAGCGAAGGTTTAAATGGAGATTTAGGCTGGCGGGCCTCTGGGGTGAAGATTTTCGTGAAGATTTGACTGAAGATTCTGGCGGGCCTCCAGTGTGAAGATTTTGGTGAAGATTTAGGCTGGCGCGCCTCTGGGGTGAAGATTTTCGCGAAGATTTAAATTCAGATTTAAGTGGGCCTCTGGGGTAAAGATTTTCGTGAAGTTTTACAAGCCTGGGTGAAGATTTGAAGTCATATCTACTGCCCACGGGAAAGATTTAAGGGCCTGTGTGAATATTCACGTGCAGATTTAAGGCATGGGTGAAGATTTATGGCCCTGGGCGAATATGTTGAAGATTTAGGGCGCATGTTGAAGATTTAGGTGAAGATTTAGGGCGCATGTTGAAGATTTAGGTGAAGAGATAAAGCCTGGGTGAAGAATAAAGCCTGGGTGAAGTTCTGCGGCTATGGGCGAAGATTTTGGTGAAGATTCAGGGTCCTGGGTGAAGATTTAGGTGAAGGTTTACGGCCCTGGGTGAAGATGAACGTAAAGATTTAATGCCCTGGGCGAAGATTTCGGTGAAGATTTCGGGCTCTGGGTGAAGATTTGAAGCCCTGGCTGAAGATTTACGCGCTTGGAAGAAGATTTAAATGAAGATGCAATGCCCTGGGTAAAGATTTAACAGCCTGGGCGAATATTTAGATGAACCTTTAAGGCCAGGGTGAAGATTTACGCCCCTGGGTGAAGATTCAGTACAGTGGAGGAAGATGTACGCGAAGATTTCAGGCCTGGGTGAAGTTTTGCGGCCCTGGGTGAAGATTTAGATGATGATTCAGGATCCCGGGTGAAGATTTAGACGCAAATTGATGGCCCTGGGCGCAGATTTATGTGAAGATTTAGGGCCCGGGGTGAAGATCTAAGTGAAGATTTCGGGCTCTGGGGGAAACATTAGAGCCCTGGGTGAAGATTTACGGACCTGGGCGAAGATTTACGTGAAGATTTAGTGACCTGTGAAGATCTGAGAGAAAATCGGAGGAACATCTGGAGGAAGATCGCCGTGACAATTTTTTAAGTTAGGTTTTCGAGTATGATTTGCGCGATGACGGCAGGGCGTGGAACAAAACAAGGGTTTTTGAACATATGGTTTTTGAGTAGGTCCGCGAGGCTGAGCCCGGGCATGCCGGCCTAGTTTTTTTGGACTCCCTGTGCCCTCACCAGGGTAAGATGATGATAAGGTCTGCGGGATGGTGATGACGGTGGTGAATCTGATACGGCTAACCCTTTTGTTGTTGATGGTGACGATGACGACGACCATGCTCATGATGATGTTCATGTCGGTGACGGCGAGCCTCAGGAAGGCTGACCAGGTGCCGAAAATAAGAAATCGAACGAAGCCCATCTTGCAACGGACTGTACCCGACGACCGAGTGCAAGCGAATTGTTAAATGCAGAACGGCACGTCATACAGCTTTCGAACTAATTATTGGTCAACTCTGCACAGAAGCTGAACACATGGACCTCACATGGAAAGTCATGCGAATGCGCTGGGCTTTTACGTCAGATTCTCCGCCACCGTGCCGCCAGGCAAGGAGTGGGCCTGTCCTCGGGTCCTGGGCCTACTTCTTCAAGTCTCAATCCTAACTCCTAAAGGCTCGTAAGGGCCCAGACTCGAACTTCTCAATTCTCCAAGGGCTGCTCGGCTCGCGTCTCGTCGGGGGCTCGTCGCGTGCTCTCGCGTGAATTCTTCTGGCCCAAGAGGGCCCCAAGATGGGCCCAGATGGCCCCAGAAGGCCCCCAAGACGGCCCAAGAGGGCCCCGAGTCGCCCAACGAGCGGTCCAAGACGCCCAAGAGGGCCCTAATTAAGACGGCCCAAGAAGCTTCCAATACGCCCAAAGAGGCCTCCCGAGAGGGCCCCAAGAGACATCAATCGTTGATATCTTAGGTTTTGACGGATTCTGGCGATCTCGCCTTTCGGCTTCCCGACGCTCCACGGCGGCACACGAAGCCCCCACGATCGCCCCCCGAAACGGCGCCAGAGGCCTCCAAGAAGGCCCCAAGACGGCCCCAAGAAGGGCCCAAAGACGGCCCAAGAGGCGCGGTCGCCTCGACTCCCAGCCGCTCTGGCCCAGGGCGCCTCGCCTCAGTGCGCGCTCAGTGCGCACTCAGTGGAACGGGCAGCGCCTCAGTGCGCGCTCAGTGCGAGCTCTGTGCGCGCTCAGTGCGCGCTCAATGCGCGCTCTGTGGAACGGGCAGCGCCTCAGTTAGAAGAAAAAACCACATAAACATAAACTGTTGGCGCTCCGCGAGGGTTTCTTGGATTCGCGCTGGACCCCCCTCCCTGGCGCGCGGAGCGCCAGGGGCGGCGCTGGAGGCGCCGCCGGGGGGCCCAGGCGCGGATCCAAGAAATCCGCGCGGAGCGCCGTAAGTTTTGTTTGTGTGTGGGATTTTCTTCTGCGATCAGTGCGCGCTCAGTGCGCGTCCGACCCAAAGCCCAGCGCTCGGCGCAGCACGCTCAGTGTGCGCTGCCCGACGCGCCGCGTGCGCGCGAGAGAGGCGCGGCGCGCGCCGCGCGGCGGGGTGCGGCGCGCCGAGGCTACCCGCCGCGGCGGGGGCGCTGCGGCCAGCCCAGGCCCCCGATACAGGGGCTCGAGGGACGGGGGTCCATCCTGCCATGGAGGATGGCCCTTCTCCTCATTCTCCTCCTCCTCCTCCTCCTCCTCCTCCTCCTCCTCCTCCTCCTCCTCCTCCTCCCCTACTGGGGCTCAAGAGATGGGGGTCCATACAGACGGGGGTCAGGCAGAGCGCCGGATCTTGCAGGATCCTGCAGAGCGCTGAAGGCCTTCTGACAGGCCCAGATGGGGAACCGGAGCGGACATTTCGAGCCCTCGGCCCCAGGAGGCCCCAAGAGGCCCCCAGCAAACGCCCAAGAGGCTCCGAAGAGGCCCCCAAACTGCTCCCAAGAGGCCCCCGAGAGCGCTCCAGAGAGACCCGAATAAGCATCCCTGACAACTCTGGCCCACAACCCAGGCACGGTGGCGGGATCGGCCGAATGCTCTTCGACAGCTCTCCATATGGGCGCCCTGCCAACTCGGATTGCACATCAGATGCAGTTCAAATTGAAAGCCTCATATTTCCGAAGCCGCTGAAGCAGATTCACCCTCCCTGGATGGACTTACCCTGGGTGAACTCGCCCCGAAACCGCCCTGGTTTCAACTCACCTGGGGTGAAACCACCCTGGGCGAACTCACCTCGGGTGGGAGGAGGAGGAGGAAGACGAGGAGCAGGAGGTGGAGGAGGAGCTGGAGGAGGAGGAGGAGGAGGAGCTGGAGCAGGAGGAGGAGGCGGAGGAGAAGCCCAACCCGATGGTCCCACCCCCGTGTGATGGGGCACGAACCGCGGGCTCCCCCCAATCATGGCCGGCCCGCCTCGGCGTGTCCACGGCCTGCGCCGGCTCCGTCGGCGGCGCCGGGCTCACCGCGGCTTGGCGCGGCGCCGGCATGGCGCCGGCCCGCGCGGACCCCTCCGAGCGGAGGAGGGGGGGGGCGGCGTGCTGCCTGGCGGAGAGCACCTCGGCCCTTCGGCGAAAAAGCCGCACGAGCGCACTTTCCTATGGCCCTCTGGCTGACTGCTCCTGCCCCGTCCCCTTTGTCTTCCTCCTCCTCCTCCTCTTCCTCCTCCTCCTCATCCTCCTCCTCCTCCTCCCCCTCCCTCCTCTGTCATTATCATCCGCCCGTCCTGCTACTACTATTGCTCTACGACTACGAGTACGACCACTCCTACGACTCCTACTACTACGACTACTACGACTACTACGACTACTACGACTACTACGATTACGACTACTACTACTACTACTACTACTACTACTACTACTACTACTACTTCTACGACTACTAGTACGAAAACGATGACGACGACGACGACGACGACGACGACGACGACGACGACGACGACGACGACGACTACTACTACTACTACCACTGTTACTACTACTACTACTACTACTACTACTACTACTACTACTACTACTTCTACTACTACTACTACTACGACTACTACTACCACTACTGCTGCTACTACTACTACACCTACTACTACTCATGCTGCTGATACTTCTACTACTGGTGCTAGTACAACCTACTACTGATGCTGCTGCTACTAAGCTACTCAGCTACGACTACTACTACTACTACTACTACTACTACTACTACTACTACTACTACTACTACTACTACTACTACTACTACTACCTACTACTACTACTACTACTACTACTACTACTACTACTACTACTACTTCTACTACTACACCTACTGCTGCTACGACTTCTACTACTACCATTCACTGCGGACGTTTTGGTTACTACAATCACTTACACGTCAGCTACAACTACCACTGCTACTACCACTGCCACCACCACTACTACCACTACTACAACACATACCACTACTACGACCACTACCACCACCACTGCGCCTGCCACGACTGCTATTACTACTGCTACTACTACTGATACTACGACGACTACTAATATTTCTCCGATTGCTATCACTACTACTTCTACTACTACTCCTACTCCTACGACTACAACAACAACTACTACTACTACTACTACTTCTACTACTACTACTACGGTGAAGGTCTGGAGGCTGGTGGAAAAACAATCGTGGATTGGCCATGGATATCACTGCCGCCCTCATCATACAAGGAACCCGCCAGGGGCTGAAGCGCCCTGGGCACATCCCTTAACGAAAGCCCCCAC